CTCTCTCTCTGTTCTTTTATGTCTTAGTAGACATAGGTACATACTGCTGTGCTATTGTATTGTACTGTATTGCAGTGCAGTGCATCCAGTGCGGTCTAGTCTGGTCTAGCCTAGTCTATTACACATACATACACACATGCATGCANNTGCATGCATGCATACACACACATACACACGTACATACATGCATACGTACATACGTACATACATACATCAATAGAATACAATTATTGTTTTCTAGTGATGTATGTATGTATATATGTGCGTATGTTTTGTATGTAGGTATCACATCTGTTATCATGGGTTATGTGCATAGTACTTTGTGTATGTGTACAACACATACGCACACACACACATCACTTGTTATCAGCACCCAAGCTCTGATTGGTCAGATGACCGCATGAACACACGTTGGGACTTGGGCAAGGAATGGCGGTTCCGCTTTTAGATGTCGAGGGCGTGAGGTGTCCCCGATTCAAGACCCTAACAGCAATAGCCCCCTTGGCATAATCCAATCTATCTTGAACTCAGCAACATCTTTTGCTTCCCACTGTACAGATGCCGGAGGCAACAGGTTGAGCCTGTTCGGGGCAAGGGTCTCATGAGAAGGAGGCGTAACGCAAGAGGCAAGTTGCGCGTGGTGACATATGGAGACAGGAGACTGCAAAGACAGACGGCATTGCCGAGAAATTTGTGGAAAGTTTCAGGAATTAGTACACATCAGGGCGTACCTGGCTTGCCCCGTCTTCCAAGAGGACAGTGAAACTGCCCAGACTGGGTGCGCGGTTTATGAATAAAAGAGTGGAATTGTATGGTACAACCTGTGACCTACGTACTCAGTCCTGCTTGCGGCTTGAAGCCTAAAGCCTCAAGCCCCAGACCCTTAACCTCACAGTAGAAGACCTTTCAGCCTGCATCCTGAAACCCGAAGCTTCAGAAGATCTTTTGAACCGACCCGGTGGTGAATCCAGGCCTGCGGTGGGTGCGCTACCTCTGCCCACTGAAGTACGCCATCAACTTGATGACCATCGTGGAGTTTAGCTACGTCAAGGAAAGCATCGAACCTTGGCCGATTGAGCTCAGTGAGGTTGAGGTTGAGGGCCCTGAGCATCTCTGAACGAAAAGCACCGCCAAGGACAATTGCGAGCAAGAGTACTCGCAAGCTGAGTGCATGAAACAGTGCCTCGGTCGCGAAATATTTTTCTGGACCGGGGCGACCAAGTAAGGAGAATGAACATACATGTCAGAACATGAAGCTTCTGCCTAAGCATAATCAGCGAACAGACTGAAGCCCGGCTGCACTACTCGCTCATCCAACACTTTTCAAGATGATGGGTTTCCGTTCAGATCTCGCGCTAGCTCTGTGAACGACACAGCAAATCCATTCCCGGAATCCCGATCCTGAAACTGACAAACTGACTTGTCCTTCGTATGGCAGGGTTATGCGCAGGAGGTAGGAGGCAAACCAAACGACCTTAATGTAGAGTGTATAGGGTTGCCCGATACTCATGAGCACAAAGCACTAAGCCCTGAAGACCCCATGAATCCTCAAGCAAGGCAGCCTGGAGACTACCTCCGTCAGCAGCTGGTGCAGACGCAAAGTGCCTTGCACTGGCTCTTGGTGTTTTTTCTGGCAGAGCAGTATCACGTAGATTTAGGGTTTAGGCGTCTAGAGTCAAGTGTGAGGTCTTCTATAGACTCCAGATGTAGAGTTTGGGAGTTGGGTTTGTCCACCGCGTTTGTCCCTTCGACACGTTTCAGGCACTTTAGACATGAGGGGTGAGCGGGGTAATTTAAAAGTATTCTTAGTAGGGCTGCCCGAATAGATGTGAGCATCCCTCCGGAACTTCATCAAATAATTTAGGCCACTGCTTTCCTCTCAGGGCTGCCGAAAACATGTGTAGAATCGCCCCAGAACCCTTAGTCCAATTATTTGGGCCTCTATAGTTAGAGGCGTTTAGGATCCACAGGTAGCATTCGTGCCTTTTTTGTTGTAGAGGCTTTTTGACTTTAGTTCGAGCAGCTGCGACTAGGCCGGGACTCTTGCGGGTTGCTTATCAAGTATCATGCGTTTGCACGTCCTGCAACAAAAGCAAACTACAAGCTGGTTCAGGTCTGCCTTCACGAAGGGAGATTGGAACCGCGTTCTGAGGTGTTGAGTGGGACGAGTGGTCCTTCTACCTCGGAGCTCTGGTTGGCCTCTATGCGCTTTGGGCTGTTTTATGGAATGTACTGGGGTCCTACATTTGTCCACTAAACCCTAAACCCTTAAACCCCTAAACCCTAAACGCTTACACCCCTAAACCCTAAACCCTTAAACCCCTAAACCCTAAACCCTTGTTTGCAAGTACACTGCAAAGACTTGAAAGGATGGGGGGATGCTGGAGTCTCTGGGTTGTACAGCTTCAGAGCTCTTGAAACCGCGGCGAGTATACTCTCAGGGGTTTTGTGGCACTGAGAGGTTTTGCATGTGCAGAACTCAAGGCCGAACAGCTTGGGCTCTGGAGGGAGGGATAGAAGCTTTGGAGCAACTAAGGCCCCAAAACAGGCGTCGAACTTTCAGTCCTTTAGGCAAGTGAGGCCGAAAACCGACTCCTTTTGAATGTCCTCTTCGATAGATCTTGAGTCTAGTTTGAAATCTCGCGGTCTGGGTACAGGCATCGGCTGCACGGTTCGGGTCTAGCTTTCTTTTTGCAAGGAACAGCTACACTCCTTATTTAAATTTAAATGCAGAATCGTGACTGCAGGGTTCTGTTGTTCTTGAATTTTACTTTGACCACCTTTGGAGGCTTTCACTTCGGGGCAGTGCCTCTTGCCTGCGCTGTGATCGGAATGAGACTGTCTGCACTTGCTCAGGTGCTTTTCCGGCTCATCGCAAGTATCCTGCTCTGGCGTGATCTGGTCCCAATTCATGAGTTGAGGGACTGTAGTCCCCTTTCAGGGTCCCGTACGTACTCCACGTGGAGAGGAGCCCCGATATGGAGCCCCGAAGCTTTTCGGGATGGGGTTTCGTGTTCCCTTCCTTGCAATACAGCAAAGCACCCGTAGCCGAGCCACAGCCAGAGCTTCTGCCGGATCTGGGTGTTGCGTTAAATGTGGCTCATCTAGGAAACCGAGCAGTGAACCTATGCTTTTCGGGAAGTTGGACGAGCACCAAACTAGAGTAAATGCAGGTCCATATGCTTTAGGCTCCATCTCTTGGAAGCGCACCTTGGTGAACATGAAGCCGTGTATCTCAGCTCGGTATCTGTCTCAGCTGCACTTGAGTCTTGGTGCGCCGGGAACCTTAAACCGTGAGCATCAACGTTCACGCACGGTCGTCATCGCCGTTTCGTCGCTTCTATTCTAGCCAGATTTGCTTCCCGAGGCTCTTGGACCTAAAGCATCCAGCCTAAAGACTCAGCACATCACAGCAGAAGCCCCATCTGCCACCCTGGATTGCCTCAACGCAAAGCCGTCCAGAGCCCGCCAAGGCAAGGGCAGGTACGTTTTCTGAGGAGCGCTGAGCCGGGTCTACCAGGCATCAGGTCTGTAATTAAGAGTACTTATCTTGAGGCTCTTTGAGGCGCCGTCTGCTGCACCCTAGTCCGCCAGCGATTTCTCTCCAATAAGGAGGGGCTTCCGGCTGTGCAGACTTGAG